GATTGACCGTGCACCTCCAGAAGTGTCAGCTGCAAAACTGGAAGTGCACTTCTGATTTTGCCACTGGTGGTTCTGGGCTCAGCAATCAGCCACTGGGGACCTCCCCAGTCGGTGATCTGGTGCCCCCCCCCCCAGACTCGGGAGGCACCAGGCACCCATGCCTGCTTCACAGATAGACTGAATCCTAAAGGCAAGGCTTGGTGCATTTAAAGATGTCTTACTACTCTTCCTGGAGAAAATCTTAACAGACCTAGTCTCTTAGCAACACCCAGTGTGCATCACAGGTAATTCTCATTAATACTGATCATGGGAGCTAGGGGCTGGAATCACAACAAGCTGAGAACTTCCAACCTCCCTTTGGAGAACTGAGCCATACAGACATAAATGTTCTGTACCCTGGCGGGCAAAGAGGTGTGTAAGCCCTTGGAAGAATAATACAAATACATAAAAACACTCCCTAATTTAAGGAAATGAGGATGTGTGTGTATTAAGGCAGAGTGGTACTTGTGTTATAGCTACAGTTCCTGGCCTTGTCAGTAATCCCCATCCCCATTAAGACATTTTTTTTTTACAAATCTGCCACCTTGCAGGGAAAAGTCCAGCTCCACAGTGATCCAATACAGCTGTGAAAATTAACTTAATCACTGCAAGTCTCTGAGGTTTTTCTTTATAACAATATTGCATGGTAAAATTAACATCATTTGGGCTCCTGTTAAATTGCAGTCCTGTTTGCACAGAGGACTTTAAGCAGTTTCATTCACTTACAGAGTTCTTGATGGAAGGTAAAGGAATCGTTTCTCCAAAATCACCTACCTTTATTTGCTGCAGGGGAGAACAGCTTCTCAGAGCCTATAGAAGCCTGGAAAACAGAACAGAAAAGAGGGTTACTGATGCTAAGAGAGGACTGAGGAGTCTCCACCAACAGAAACACAGTCCTTAAAAAAATCAAGGCAAGCTTTTGGAGCTGCAATTACACATCACACCTGGAGGGTGCAATGTTGTGCCACTGAAGACTAAACAGGCATCTGGAACAGGAGGGGGGAAGAGAATCATATACATGTACTGTCCTCTTCTCACTCAAGCACATCCTCCTGGCTCTTTTATTTAGGCAGCCAGGCAACACACAAGTTATTTTATCCATGATTTTGCATATAAAAATACAAATGAAACAGCTACCAGACTGAAGCAACAGCATTTTAAAGTCTCTCTCATTGAAAAATACACCTCATCTCTTGCTGAATATGCAAAGGGTGATTTGTTTCATGACAGTGCAGGTTGCACTTATGTGCATCAGAGCAGACAGAAGACGTTATTCCAAATCATAGACACATGCTGCTGTGCACTTAGCATGTTATTATAACATAAAGCAATATAGGGCCTGTCTGCTTGTATGCTGTTTGAACATCATACTGTAACTTGTGCTTCTCTCAGCTCTGGGAAGTAGTTGAGAAATCCAATTAACCTAAGCCTTGTAGATAGCTTCATGATAATCAGGGTCACTGGGCTACAGCCATGAAGATAATGAGAGAGAGAGAGAGACAGAGAGAAAGAGATTTACTAGCTGCCTATTACCTGGTCAGTCAAGAGTCCCTACAGAATGACAAGCTAGTATTTGGGTAGTTGGGTATTAGTAACGCACTACAGATATCGGAGATAACGGAGACTATCTTACACAATGTTGCATCTGACTGCTGCATGAATAAAAATGGGATAGAGAATAAAGCTGAAGAGGAGAAGAAATTAAATATAAGAAACCCTTATCCTCTAGCTTTGCTTAAAAAAAAATAATTCAACTCATGGCTGAAGTAAGTTGATTTTCTTTTTGATTTTATTCTAAGGTGCCGTGGGAGGTTTCCATGATAAAGTGTCCTATGAATTGTATTACACTGCTACCTATCTTAGACAGCTATTCAAAAAGAAAAACAATTACAGGAAAAATGTAACAACGACAGTATCAGACCTCATAGTAAGCAAGGAAGAATCATCCCCACCAGTGTTATTTCTAAGGAACCCAAAGTCACAAGCTCCAGAGATCTCATCAAATGTTTACACTTTTTTAAAATGAGAGAAGGAACCAACATGAAGCAGGGTTGAGGTTGAGACAAACTCACATAATACGTAAAGAAATCCTAAGTAGAGCCTGCCATGAAGTGCTGAGCTCAGTTCTGGCTTGTATGGTTATTACATAGTCCTCTGTCAAAAAGACTGTAAAACCTTTGGGAGGTACTGGGCCAAATGCTGCCTGGAATTACACTTGTGACATCTTTACTGCATGGATGAAGATCAGGGCAGAATTCACTCCTTGGCTCTGGCTAGTATTTACTGCTACAATGTAACACAGCAATGCCAGCAGTATACAATGGTTTATAGCTAGCTCTGAATTTATGATGCACTGGTAAGACATTTTTCCACAGACTGTCAGAAGACATTCACCACAGACAGGAGGAATGGATACAAACTAACCCTGGCTCTGAACCTCAGGTTGACTGAAATATTGTAGCTCACAGACATCTCTAAAATGAACAAAAATAATGTAAGATCTGGCCTCAAAGTATTTGGCTGACATTACACCTCACCAGCAGGGAGCAAATAAGATAATTCCATTTTATAGACTGAGGAACCACAAAACAAAGAAGGCAAATGGCAGAAAGCAATGCAGCAGTAGAAGTAGGAATCTTGGCCATCAGGTCCCCACATGAACTGGAAGGTTCACTCCTTTCTATGCATTTCAGCAAAAGTATAGTAATGCAGGCTCACAATGTCACAGGGAGATACCAACTCCTCAGCTATAGAATTCACTGACAGAGTTTAAAATGTTAAAACAACATTTGAAGGGAACAAGCAAAAAAAAAAAAATCCTAGTTGAAAAAGTGGGTTAAAAAACCCCCGTAAACAGCGAGGGAAAAATCGGCAGCAAAAACACCAAAACTGCAACTAGTTTTAACAGTCACAGCATTTACAGAACAGTTTTCAACCTCAGAGCCACAGCTTAGACATAAACCTTGGAGTCCAAACACCAACAGAAGCAAGGCAGCCTCTAAGGAGAGCTTTCATGGATGATATAATTTCAATATGGTGGAGCTAAGCAGCTATGAGCCAGTCTATGTGT